TCCACCCAAAGTTCCAGAGTGCATGTCGGACAAGGCGAAGTCTTCCTCATGAACTGTTTTGAGCCGAACCCTGACGACAGAGCCACAGCTGAAGAGCTGCTGAACGACACCTTCCTCAGGTCGTCTCCCAAGAAGAAGGTGAAGGCTCAGCAGGAATCAGACACTAAAGACTACCTTTCCTCAGGTGAAGATTCAGCACACATTTACAATTTAATGTTCCTCCTCGTATTATATCGGATGGTTTATCTAAAATTCTTCCTTTTCTGTTTACAAAATTTTGTCTGGGGCGCTGATGGCCTAGAGGTTATGCTGAGCCTGCTTTATCCACTAAATCCAATCCAATAAATGAATAAATCAGTCAAAATTGTATCTGAAAGTTCAAACGTGACTTATCTGACTTTAATCTCTCTTGTGTTTACAGCTGACTATCAACGCAGCCTGTCTGTACCTATCTCCATCCTTGTGGAGGACACTGATTCGTATTCTGGTTCAATCGACCTGTCCTGCTCTCTGGACCTCAGGAGGCCCCATTCTGCCCACTTAGCGAATGAATTCTCAGAAAGCCCAACGAGCACCAGCAGCTTCCTTTCGTGAGTGTGATTATTGCTCAACAAACGAAGAAAGTCAGTGGGTATCTGCACGCAGCTGTAATTTACAGATTTTGCGTCAGTGGCCAAACCACACTGAGGTTTCCTGTGTAGGCACACACAGATAGCACACTCTATGGAAAGTCTTATTTTAAGTGTGTATTGCTTAGAGAAATCTGAAATCACAAACGAATGAATGACATAATATATCTTAATTTGTGTCCAATGCACCAGGATACCAGAGGACTCTGCATTTGAAATGTGCAGTCCTTCCTCAACAGAGGAGAGTGTCGGTCTTTTCATGCTGAGAAAGGACAGTGAGAGGAGAGCCACACTGCACCGAGTCCTCTCTGACTACATCAGTCTGGTCGTCTTTAACATACAGGACAGTGTGCCTCAGGTGGTGAAGAAGTGAAGTCACAGAAACACAGGAAAAAACAATGTGAAGCAAGCTGCAATCTTTGTCCCCCGGTTAGACTTTAAATTCATGTTACAACAATTGATAACAGTGAACAAAATTGATCAATTTGGTTCAGACTACAAGTTCTTCTTGCATTTCTTTGAATCTGATTGATTGATTGGTTGATTTGTGATTAAACATTAAAGATCCTGTTTTTCAGTACAATTTAAAAGTTTTAAATCAAAGTCAAGTTGTTATCTGTAGCTGATATACAGAGCCTTTTTTTTTTTACCAGTAAGTGACTCCCTTCTTCAACTTGATAATCACAAAATGTTCAGAGATGGGCGCAGGTGGCCTAGTGGTTAGTGCGCACACCCTATGTACAAAGGCTGTAGTCTTCCAAGCACGTGCCCCAGGTTCAAATCCCCAAACTCTCACACTTTGAACGTGTTCTGTCTTGTGCTTGACAGCTTTTCACCTTTTTCGCTTTTTTGTCAAACATGTGTGACATAACATTGTATGCTAATTTCCTTTTATCATTGTTTTAATGTTTTCATACTGATTTAAAGGTATTAATCTGCAAAAATTCCTTTGTTAAAAGATTCATCCATAAGACATAGGGCTAAGCAGTTTAAAATACATTTCCAAAACTGTCTTAATACTGAACATTTTAATTTGTCTATTCCTCATAACCTTAAAAAAAAAAAAACTTCCTATCCACAATAATCATTTCAGATATCCACAACATCATTCTTCCTGGAGAAATTACATTAGCTTCATCATTTATGTGAACTTGGCTTTGAATTTCAGATATCTACAACAGCATTCTTCCCATTCAGAATAAAGATTTTGGATATCTGCAATAGAGTTCCCCTTAGGAAAACTCCCAATTTGGATATCTACTTCCCATTTAGATTAGTTAGGATTACTAGTCATAATTTTATTTTAAATATTCCAAATAAAATATTCCACATATCTATAATTTGATTTTAAGTATCCAAATTGGGAGTTTTCCTAAGGGAACTCTATTGCAGATATCCAAAATCTTTATTCTGAATGGAAGAATGCTGTTGTAGATATCTGAAATTCAAAGCCAAGTTCACATAAATGATGAAGCTAATGTAATTTCTCCCAGGAAGAATGATGTTGTGGATATCTGAAATGATTATTGTGGATAGGAAGTTTTTTTTTTTTAAGGTTATGAGGAATAGACAAATTAAAAATGTTCAGTATTAAGACAGTTTTGGAAATGTATTTTAAACTGCTTAGCCCTATGTCTTATGGATGAATCTTTTAACAAAGGAATTTTGCAGATTAATACCTTTAAATCAGTATGAAAACATTAAAACAATGATAAAAGGAAATTAGCATACAATGTTATGTCACACATGTTTGACAAAAAAGCGAAAAAGGTGAAAAGCTGTCAAGCACAAGACAGAACACGTTCAAAGTGTGAGAGTTTGGGATTTGAACCTGGGCCACGTGCTTGGAAGACTACAGCCTTTGTACATAGGTGTGCGCACTAACCACTAGGCCACCTGCGCCCCATCTCTGAACATTTTGTGATTATCAAGTTGAAGAAGGGAGTCACTTACTGGTAAAAAAAAAAAAGGCTCTGTATATCAGCTACAGATAACAACTTGACCTTTGATTTAAAACTTTTAAATTGTACTGAAAAACAGGATCTTTAATGTTTAATCACAAAATCAACCAATCAATCAATCAGATTCAAAGAAATGCCAAGAAGAACTTGTAGTCTGAACCAAATTGATCAATTTTGTTCACTGTTATCAATTGTTGTAACATGAATTTAAAGTCTAACCGGGGACAAAGATTGCAGCTTGCTTCACATTGTTTTTCCTGTGTTTCTGTGACTTCACTTCTTCACCCACCTGAGGCACACTGTCCTGTATGTTAAAGACGACCAGACTGATGTAGTCAGAGAGACTCGGTGCAGTGTGGCTCTCCTCTCACTGTCCTTTCTCAGCATGAAAAGACCGACACTCTCCTCTGTTGAGGAAGGACTGCACATTTCAAATGCAGAGTCCTCTGGTATCCTGGTGCATTGGACACAAATTAAGATATATTATGTCATTCATTCGTTTGTGATTTCAGATTTCTCTAAGCAATACACACTTAAAATAAGACTTTCCATAGAGTGTGCTATCTGTGTGTGCCTACACAGGAAACCTCAGTGTGGTTTGGCCACTGACGCAAAATCCTGTAAATTACAGCTGCGTGCAGATACCCACTGACTTTCTTCGTTTGTTGAGCAATAATCACACTCACGAAAGGAAGCTGCTGGTGCTCGTTGGGCTTTCTGAGAATTCATTCGCTAAGTGGGCAGAATGGGCCTCCTGAGGTCCAGAGAGCAGGACAGGTCGATTGAACCAGAATACGAATCAGTGTCCTCCACAAGGATGGAGATAGGTACAGACAGGCTGCGTTGATAGTCAGCTGTAAACACCAAGAGAGATTAAAGTCAGATAAGTCACGTTTGAACTTTCAGATACAATTTTGACTGATTTATTCATTTATTGGATTGGATTTAGTGGATAAAGCAGGCTCAGCATAACCTCTAGGCCATCAGCGCCCCCAGACAAAATTTTGTAAACAGAAAAGGAAGAATTTTAGATAAACCATCCGATATAATACGAGGAGAACATTAAATTGTAAATGTGTGCTGAATCTTCACCTGAGGAAAGTAGTCTTTAGTGTCTGATTCCTGCTGAGCCTTCACCTTCTTCTTGGGAGACGACCTGAGGAAGGTGTCGTTCAGCAGCTCTTCAGCTGTGGCTCTGTCGTCAGGGTTCGGCTCAAAACAGTTCATGAGGAAGACCTTCGCCTTGTCCGACATGCACTCTGGAACCTTTGGTGGATCTTGAACATCCCCACCTTGATGGA